TGGTGGTGTTGAAATACCACGGACTTCCCTTTGGCATCCACAGCACTGGATGTCATTCATGCAGGAATAGGGATGAACTTCTCCACTCACCATAGGCCTATGGCAGTAGCTCTAAAAGTGCCGTCCCAGGGCCAGTGGCATCAGCATCGCTTGGGGACCTTTTAGAGATGCAAATTCTCAGGCCCCACCCCAGATCTACTGAATCAGTAACTCTGGGTTGAAGTCCTACAATCTGTGCTTTAATAAGAAATGGCTGATTTTAAAGTATGGTAAAGTTGGAGAACCACTGACATAGGACACTGGATACAATAAAGCCTCCCATCCCTTTCTATGTAGGCCCCTGTGCAATGACACTGCAGCTTCTCCCTTTAAGAGGTGAAATCTGTCTCTCCACCCCTTGAATCTGGGCTGGCCTTACAAATTGCTTTGACTAAGAATACAGCAGAAGGGATGCTGTATGAATTCTAGGGTCTAGGCATCAAGAGGACCTGTAGTTTGCACTCTTATGCTCTTGAAACACTGTCCTGAGAAAGCCATCCCATGAAGCCCAGTCCAGTCTCCTGGAGGATGAGAGGTCTTGTGAGGAACCATGATTCTCAAGCCAACAGTCATCTGTCACATATCTGAGCCAGTCCATTTTAGACCATCCTAGCTTCTGTTGAGTTGCCAGATAACTGCATGCATATGAATGACACCTAGCAAGGCTTTCAGAATAATTACCCAGCTAATCCCAGCCCCAAATGCAGACCCACAGAATCATAAGCAATTAAATAACTCTTGTTTTAAGCCATTACATTTGGGGTGATTTTATGCAGAGATAGAAAACTGATACACTCAGGTATCCAAGCAACAACAATTGCAAAACTGTTTTTGCTTTTTTTTTTCCAGCATGCCTATTTGTCCTGTAAATTGAAACAGTTTACACAGCTCAGACAGGACCATCTCATCCTCATCATATTATATAAGTAAGCAGCCACAAGGGAGCTTGGTTCAGGATTTTTTAAAAAGACCTGTGGGCCTCAGTTTCCACACAAACAAAACAAGAATATTCAACCAGAAGACAATTTCAATGATTATTCTAGGTTCAGAGTTCTATAATTCTAAGAGATTCAGAGGTCTATAATTCTAAGAAATTCAAACAGAGTAAACTGGTTTCTTCCACTCCGTAAGTAGAAAAGACACAGACACATATCTCACTTTTATTGCACGTACACCCAAGATTGAGTTAAATAACATTAACTACTGGCTAGCTGCGTCTATATCTACAATTTCCATTAGGTTCTTGGACAGAGAGATAGTGCAAGGCACAGCAAAAACAAAACATAACAAAACAAAACACAGGCTTTGGAGCCTGACACGCTTGGATTGGAATCCTGGCTCTGTTTCTTCCCAGCTGTGTGGCCATAATCTAGCTATTTCCCCTCCAAGTCTTGGGGTCCTTACCTTTAAAAAATTGCTTATAACCATGTGCAGTTTGCAATTATTTTGATGTTAAAGACATATATGTAGAAGCAGCTAGCACAGTAGTAGGAGTACAACGGAAAAAAAAAACACTTGCTATGATGACTTATATTGTATTACAATATAGTGCATGAAATAATCATATCAGAACCATATTACAAATTAGATTTTCCTTTTTATACCACATTTATTTCATATTAACTTTCTGGAAGTCAGGGATACAAGCAATTCTTAATTCTGACATTTCAACCACCATGTTACAGAAAAAAGAATTTTTTTTTATTAAAAGTAGCTCTGGATTTACTTGAATCCCTATTGATTCTTTTCATTCAACATTTGTGCGTTGAACAGTTTTCACTTTATGCTCAGCTCTGTGTCAGTTTGCTATATGGGATGAAAAGCCCGTTTTGAAAAAAATCCCTCTCCCCCTCACTTCTTCTCCAGCTCTGGCCTAAACTCTACCAGGTATCGCCAGGGTCTGAAAGCTGAGGCCATTCCCAGACTCTCCACACTGGCAGCAATGTGGAGGGAGCAGGAGGAAGGTAAAGGGGGAAAGGGGAACATGAGGCTCTTAAGTGAGGGAGAAAAAAGTGGGGCAGGAGCTATGAAAGATGACCTCCATCATTCTGGCCACACATCCCCTTGTCCTTTGCTCTTAGCTCCCTGGTTTCCTTGATGCTCCTCCACCTCGCTTCACTTCAAGGCCTTCACTGTGGTTCTTCCCACTCCTCCCGGAATGCACTCCCCCAAGTATACACATGGCTTCTTTCCTCACTCCCATCAGCTTTCTGATGTTCTCAGACATTCTCTTAATAGAAAAGCTCACCTGACCAAGCTACAGACAGGTATATCCTGGATCCCACTCCCCTTTGCTTCTCCGCCCGTCTTCCTGTTCTTCATAACTGTTTCTCAAACTTCAGTGTGCACACAGGTCACGTGGGGATCTTACTCAAATGCAGATTCGGATTCACTGGGTCTGGGATGGGGCCTGAGACTCTGCATTTCTAAGTGCCCATCTGCCATCAATCTGTGAACTGCATTCTGTAACACTTAATATCAAGATAGTACCTATTTTCTTCTTCATTAGCTCATCATCGTTTTCTTCCAATCAGAGTATATGTTTCATGGAAGGAGGGGCTTTATCTTATTCTATGCTGCATCCTGAGCACCTAGTGTTATACCCAATACCAGAGGTGCCCCCAAAAAATGCATACAAGTGGACACTTTGGTCAGCGTTGCTCAAGCAGTAGTTCACCATCATCAGAAGTGTCTGGATGCTGATGGTAACCACTCTGAGCACCTCTTGTAATTGCAGAAGTCAAACGTGACTTGTATTCATCTTTTGTTATCGGTATATGTTACTACAATTTTAATACAGTTTTTTCCTTTCTTAAAATATGTATACATTTTTTGGCACCCTCTGTACATAGAAGTTACTCAATAAATATTTATTAGTGGATGAATTATATATGTTGCTGAAAATCAAAACTGGACTTTTGAATGTATTTACCATTAGAAATATTATTACATTTAGGGACTCAACAGGTGAAATAGATTTCTGTGCTCTGGCTTAAATAAGGGCATAAACCCATAATTATGTTCAGCATCCCACAAACTTATAAACAAATCATTGGAACCCAATCTCTTTATAAAGTTAGAGAGTCTGAGGCTGAACAAATGAGAGGAAGCTAGAGAGCAAACACCAATAAATACATACATCAGGTCAAACTATACATATGTGCTGAGGAATCTGAAAAGAACAGGTCATAAAAAGAAATAAACCTGGTGTAATTAGTTGACTACATACCCTAATCCAGCAATTTTACTGTCCCAGATTGACATAAAAAATAAAAGAAAGAATGCTTGCACATCCTTTTCAAGCCTCCAGCTGCCATTAAATCTAACTCTGATGACTAATCAGAAACCCCAGGGGGCATGAGACAGTATCCCCTGATCATATGCCTTTTTTTTTGCAATATGCCCTCTTTTTTTTTTTTAAGCTGAGCCATCCTGCCACCTGTTGGCAGCTCAGCGGCTGCTCAGTTCGGACCAGGAATCGAACTGCTGTTGCTCAGAGCTCACACTCTTGAGCGAGCTCTTAACCAACTGAGCCACTCGGCCGGCCCATCAATATGCCCTCTTTTAACCCAAGAATTATTTGTGCCTTCTACTGAATTATCATTGTGCTACCCTGCCTTTCCACCGTGGTATATTTCTACTTGATATACAACAAAAATCAGCTTTACTTGATGAGCCAGTCTTCATGCTTTAATACTCCAATTCTTTGATCTCTGAAAAGTAGACAAGGCAAAACAACAACAGCAACAAAACAAAGATGTTTTTAGTTCTGCCTAATTATGGAATTGGTACAGCAAAGACATTTTCGGGCTCCTTCCACCTGAGCCATGAGATTTTATGCATATCTTTTACTAACACATGAATAGAAATACAATAGACTGACAACATGCAGTAAAAATAAAAATGGAAACTACAGTTAAATGAAGAAACATTCCTCCCCCCCAAGTCTGTGGTAGTCAAGGTCCATTTTTCTTTTTCTTGAACTCAAAATGAAAGAGCTTTCAAAACTGTTTTCAAATGAGACAGGGGGAGGTGCTAGGAGGACTGTGTTTCTGTGGTTTCAGGGATTCGTACAGGCACATTTGAAGTATGGTGTCTAACTGGTGTAGGATTCATTGAGATCAACCCCTCATGTATTGAGTGCCAATGCGGACTCTGGTGCTCTGCCCTGATACCCTCCTTAAGGGACAAGCCATCCCTGCTACTGGGAGTATTGGGTGTTACTGGTGTTCCCTACCAACAACTGCCTTTGTCCCCTGAAAACACTTCTTTTTTATTAAATGCTTTGGGGTGACATTGGTTAGTAAAACTACATAGGTTTCAAGTGTACAATTCTATAATCCATCATCTATATATCACATTGCGTGCTCACCACCCAGAATCAGTTCTCCTTCCATCACATTTGACCCCCTTTTACCCTCATCTACCTTCCCCCTTCCCCTTTACCCTCTGGTGATCACTGAACTATTGTCTGTGCCTATGAGTTTTTGCTTGTTTGTTTGTCTTGTTCATTTGTTGCTCAGAAAACACTTCAAACATCTCCATTTTCTCCCAGTGGGCAGCCATGATCGATGACTAGCTGGTTCAGGAATACATAGTCCAGGCCCTCTCCCTGCAATTCAGGACAGCTCTGCAGAGCATCCGGCTCTAAGGCGCCCATGGAATGGGCTGAGGCCTCTGTGGCAGTCAAATCACCCTTCAGCCTCTTCCGCTGCCTACCCCCGTGTGCCTTTCTTCATCATAGGTGTATCTCCAGAGAACACACTCCAATATACCTTTGTCACCCAACACTCTGAATCAGAGTCCATTTCCAAGGAACCTCCTCTAAGACATTTTAGCACAAAGATTTATTCCTATTTTCAGAACTGCAACACATTTCCCCCCTCACCCAGAGATCATCTCACTCTTGTGCTTTTGAGCAAATGGCTACAGACAAAGACAATGGGATTCAGAATACTTACAGGCTCCAACAGTGGTCAGTCCAGGAGCTGGGCCGGGCTGCTTTGCCCTCAGCTCTTGAAGTAAATGGGTTACCACCTTCCACTCAGAGCTCAGATCTTCTAATTTCCTCTTTAATGGAAAAAAAAAGCACACACGTTATTTATTTGATTAACATCTTGAAGATAACTTAATTCATGAAGTTATGAATTCATTTTGTGAATACATTATTGTATTTCAATTGCATTTCACTTCTAAATTAATTTTTCTGGGTAGAATTCCTTTTAAAGGTATCATAATTATTTTAGCCAACCAGCCTAGAAATAGTCATCGATTGTTTGCTGCACACAGGCTCTTGCTCCAGGCACAATTTCATTTAGAGGAAGTAGGGTACAGACATTAATAAAAGCAAAACAAATAAACAAACAAAAAACAGTGTCATCTCAGCAAGTGGCTTGACTCTTAAACAGTACCAAGCATGACTTCATATGCGGATTATCCAGAGAACCTTAAATATATCTTGATGTCCTGGTTCACCTCAGATAAATTATCTTAGCATCTCCTGGAAGGAGGGGCTGTGGTACACGTGGGGATATGGCACTCAGTGTCCACATCAAGGACAGATTCTTATCTGAAGTGGTGGAAAAGATGTCAGAGACCTCCTTCAGTGGTCAGTCTCTTCAGGGACTGTCCCAGCTGCAGAGATCTGCCTTGCCCAAGGTCATGCCCTTCCCAGGGCAGCCTTCATTCAAGGTGAGAGTATAAAGGCTCAATGTGGCTCAAAGCAGGACAATTTTGAAGGGCCATTTAAGCTGCAGAACTCCCGGTGGAGTCACCCAAGTCTGTATAGGTCAGTGGCATCATGCTGGCATACGTTTAACAACTGGCTTTCTGGGGCGGGGTGGTGGTGGGGAGACACCCTGATTTTAATATTTGCCCATTTCTGTGGTGTAAATACTCTCACCATAGCTACTTTCAAGCTACCAAGATAATGTCAAGTAGCTCACAAAATGCCTGAAAATTTGACAGAGGTCCTCACGAGCAGATACAAGATGGCTGCAGTACTCCACTGGGTAGCCATATGATTACAGCAATCCCCCCTTATCCTCGGGAGATATGTTCCAAGACCCCCAGTGGATGTCTAAAACCATGGAGAGTACCAAATTCTATACATACTATGGTTTTTCCTATATGTACATACCTATGATATAGTTTAATTTATAAACTAGTTGCAGTAAGAGATTAACAACAATGACTAAATAATAATAGAACAATTATAACCATATGCTGTAATGAAAAAGACGTGAGTGGCTTTGGGACATTACGAAGTAAAATAAGGGTGACTTGAACACAAGCACTGTGATACTGGGACAGTCAATCCGATAACCAAGATGACTACTAAGCGACTAATGGGTGGGGAGCATACACAGCGTAAGTACACTGGATAAAGGGATGGTTCACATCCTGGGCGCAGGACAGAGTAGGATGGCGTGAGATTTCATCAAATGACTCAGAGTAGTGCGGAATTTAAAATTTATGAATTGTTTACTTCTGGAATTTTCCATTTCATATTTTTGGATCACAATTGGCCACGGGTAACTGAAGCTGTGAAACGATAAACTGGATAAGGGGGTATGACTATAACTTATTGCCAATATAATGTGAGCAGAAGTAATATCTGTCAGATCTGGGCTGAGGCTTTTACAAAAGGAGTGAGGTTTCTCTGCCCTTTCTTTTCCCACTGGCTGAAAGCAGAGGCCTTAAGGTCCTCGGGCAAACCCTCTCAAGGGATTGGGGGTGGGGGAGGATTAATCCTAATACCCTGGAACAGTGGCTCTCATGCTTAGGGATCATCAGAATTATCTAGAAGCCTGGTTAAACCACTGCAGGCTGGGTCCTGGCTCCAGGCTTCTAGAGTCTGCAGGTCTTGGGTGAGGCCCAGGAACTGGCATTTCTAACAATTTTCCAGTTGATGCTGATGCTGAGGGTCCAAGAGCAAAGCCTAAGGCATCTGTTATATCTAATGAGTTACCTAAGCATCTACAAAGGACTAGCTATGTGCCATCCCTGACAAAAATAACAAGATAGACCCTTCAATCATTTTCCACAGGTGTGATTTCTCTAGAAAAGTTGTCAAAGGCATAAAGACTAAAAATTTATGAGTTCCTAATATAACTATCATTATGCTCTTGAAGTTATTTATGTCTATTGTGCTTAATGTTATGTCAAATCCGGGCTTTTAATTTTTTTCCCCAGGGTGCATGTTGTTAAACATTTACTATCATATCAATGAATGGAACTCTTTTTATTTATTTAAACATAAGCCTTGAATCCAAAAGCCAACAAAATACACCTCTGATAAGTGAGGAAAACTACCATTGAAAGTCATGCCATATAAAAGATACTCTTCCATTCTGACATGAGAGCTAAACACTGAAAATTAAATATTATAAAAGACTAGTGAATTAATGTATATTTTGTCTCTTTTTTTTTTTTTTAGCTGAGCCATCCTGCTACCTATTGGCAGCTCAGCGGCTGCTCAGCTTGGGCTGGACTCGAACCGTATATTTTGTCTCTTGATTCTCCAGTTGCAGTCAGTTCTCAAGAACAGAATATTAAGAGGAAGTCGCAGTAACCATGCTGACAACAAAAGGATAGATAATAGGGAGAAGATAATAAACACAAAAGCAGATACACCAGAAAATGTAGGGATCTTTGTCATTTATTGAAGGGATAACAGTATAAGATATAATGAAGTCTCATCATACATCATTTAACTTACAGGAAGTCACCTATATGTATATGTGCTGAGAGACAGAGACAGAGAAAGACAGACACTGATTAGAGATTGATTTAACTCCTGCTGGAGTTAAATCAGCTGACTCTTCTACTAAATAAGCATATGGCCACAAAGTGAATGGGCGAGGAGAGGTGGAGTTTGCTGTTCCTTAGAATTGGCTTAGGTTCTACTTTCTTCTCATAGTGCAAGCATCTCACTGCCTTGAGTTTGAGTCAAATATTTAAAGGTATGCATTTATCTTACAACCTAGCTTCTAAAAGCAAATTAACTACGTCATCTGGGTCTCAACTGAAGAAAGAGTGATCTGTACTGAACTTCATATTTCATGAGCATCATTGTATAATCAGAGAAACCAATAATTGATGCTGATAATGACCCCCTGAAAATTAGGGCAAGTTTAAATTACATTGTGTTTTCAAATCAGAAGTCCTGGATTTCAGTCCTAACTCATTACTACTGGTTGTGTGATTGTTGGCAAATCAGATAGATCACTCAGATCTATCATCCTTGAAACGTGGAAATGACACTACCATCTAACCCATAGCTTTGTTGGAGAAACTAAAAGAGATATTTTATGTAAAACTAAAAGAGATATTTTATGTAAAAAGAACTCTGCGAACTGTAAAGTACTATAAAATGGTTGGCTAGTTATTATGCCTGTTTAATGAAGCAAAACAGGAGATAGTCAATAAGAATTTTCACTAAAATAGTTAAAATGAAAATATTTCAATGCTTAAAGGACTGGGTTTTGGTTACCCTGAAAATAATGTTTATATACTTAATTTCCTTGTATTAATGCCTAAATTCTGAACATTCTATTCATTTATTCAAATGTTATCTTGTCCACTGTTATTTCTAGGTGGGCAAAAGAAGTGTTACTATAATTTCAAATGTGGAGATTTGAAAAATTAAGTAGTGCCTTGAATGTTCCATAAACATCTGAGGATACTGCAGTGTCAAAAACGTAAGCTCAGAAGTGTATATTCCGCAAACTCTCATAATTAGTTGGGAGGGGGTGGGGATGAAGGAGAGGGGAAGGGATGAGACAATACAAATTGGTAATTGTAATATGGCCTCGGGGATGGAGGAGGATGGTCCAAGGAATGCAATCAGTGA